GACTTGCCCAGCCTAGTCCACAATAGACTAAGCCAATTCCTTCCAATAGAGCTCCTCATATACATCTCCCACTCGTCTGGTTGAACCCTGACTCACACAGATCATTTTACTCAATAATTTGAGACACTGAGAGCTTCCATCTGGTGCACGCAGTTTTCAGTTTGGGAAAATTTCCTTGTGGGTCTGTAATTGTACAAAGAAATGAATCTGATTATCTAAGACCTAATCAACCTGGCTTTTTTTTTTTTTTCATGATCATATTAGTTTTAGGATTACAAATAATTTTGAAAACAAAAGTACAGAAGTATGAATACATGCAAGTAAACATGTACATACAGATAAATCACAATACATTTTTCTCCCCTACACATCGAGCTTTATTTGATGTTAATTAAAATAGAATGTGTAATATAACCACATGGCAGCCCATGGCGGTCTTTCAATCCACCCTGAGTACTGGTTTTGAGAAAGTTAGGGTTGTCTGCTCTGAGTGACTTTAACTTATCACTGTTCTTCCCTATTGTAGCGTCCTCTCTGCTCTTCCACAGGAACCCACTCACTTTGCAAATGTCATAGCATGAAGGTCGATTATGAACTGCAGTCTTTAAGTGTCCTTTGGGAGGGAGCCTCTTAGGGGGTCTTGCTATTACCCTCATGGGCTTCCACAGGCCCGACCTTCTGTCGCAGCCCTAACCACTTCCCTCATGACGCCTCCATCAGTCCAGCATGTATCAATGTGTATCAGACTTCACTGCTCCTCCTTCATCTTTTCCTCCAGTCAGGAACTTCTAGTTTCAAGAAGAATTGTTGGCCTGGCATGGTGGCTCAGGCATGTAGTCCCAGCACTTCGGGAGGCTGAGGCAGGTGGATCACCTGAGATCAGGAGTTCAAGACCAGCCTGGCCAACACGGGGAAAACCCATCTCTACTAAAAATACAAAAATTAAGCCAGGAGTGGTTGCGCATGCCTGTAATCTTAGCTACTTGGAAGGCTGAGGCAGGAGAATCATTTGAACCCAGGAGACAGAGGTTGCAGTGAGCTGAGATGGTCCCGCTGCACTCCAGCCTTGGTGACAGAGGGAAACTCCATCTCAAAAAAAAAAAAAAAAGAACTGTTAGTAAGCTAACATACTCCAGATATATCTGGACTACCTTGAGGATAATTTCCACTTCTTGGTGCATTTAAATTCAAATCTGATTTCAAACACTTGAAAGAATAACGTCCAATATTAGTGTAGGTTTTCCTGAAGCAGTTGATGCAGTGTATCCAACAGGAAACCTTCTACAAAGTCATCTTTGCCCATCACTCACGGACCCTGCAAACAGGCAAAAAAGAAAAGAACTGGAAGGATATTGGTTAGCTCCCCGCATTGTCAGGAAGACTCAGAAAATAGGCAGAAGCTAGGAGCGGCTGGGCCGAGGGCGGAGCTGATTGTTGGGGAGCACGGTTTCCTCAGGCCCTTGATGACCCCAGGAGTGTGGGTGTTGCCATCCGTGTATGGTGCAACTTGGTCCTCCCTGCCTTCTGCCATGATTATGAGGCCGCCCCAGCCATGTGGAAGCGTAAGTCCATTAAACCTCTTTTTCTGGTTTTTCTTACGGCAACAAAACAATACAAACCCCTCTTTTCCTTCCCAGTCTCAAGTGTGCCTTTATCAGCCATGTGAAAATGGACTGATACAGGAACCCAGAATGAATGGTGAAGAAGGACACTCTTAAAACAGCTTTGTAACCTGTTGGAAAAACAGGGCCTACTGCATCCACCCATATTTCAAATTAATATATGGGATACTGGTTGGTGGTAATGAACTTTACAATTTAATCCACAAGTTGCAGTTCATAAACTGAGTTTAAAAGAAGTTAAGGAAGAAAGTATAGCACCTTGAGACACAGGGCCTGGGTCCGGGTGAATACATGAGAGACTTTGGTTTGTCTACCTTTACAAAGACTTCGGTTGTATGACCCATAGTTGCAGTATATAAAAGTAAAGCATTTCTTTTTCTTTCTTTCTTTTTGAGCTGTAAATATTTAAAGAAGAGGGTATGTATTAATTACCTATTGCTCTTAACAAATCATCCCCAAACTTAGAGGTTGAAACCACAAATAGTATCTTACAGTTTCTGAAACTCAAGAATCCAGGAGCAGCTCATATGGATGGTTGTGATTCAGTGTCTTGTGTTAGGTTAAAGTCAGGATGTTAGCTGAAGCTGCCGTCATCTGAAGGCTGTAAGAGAAACAAGAAAAAGAGGTTTAATGGACTTACGCTTCCACATGGCTGGGGAGGCCTCATAGTCATGGCAGAAGGCAGGGAGGACCAAGTTGCTTCTCATCATCCTCATCTCTATAATTCTACTTTAAACCACCGTTATTTCTCTCTGAAATGATTCAAATGCCATCTGGCTGGACTTCCTCTCTTTACTCTTGCTCTACTCAAAAAGAAGCCAAAGTGATATTTCTTAAATGTAAATCAGACCCAATGCTTTCCAGGATAATTGTAATAAAGAGCTGTCATTTCCTGTGCCAAATACCTCTGTAATCTTGCTCCTGCCTCCACCACTCACCTCCTTCCACTGTCTCCTCTCCTCACTATGCTCTAGCCATAACCTTATGTTTCCTAAACACTGTTTTTTCCCATCTCAGGGCTTTTGCATGTGATATTTCTTCTCCTTCGGAAGGTTCTTCTTTGGCAGAGATTTACCCAGTTGCTTCTATCTCAGCACTGATGTCTCATCATGCTGCTCTCATTACTATATAAACTCTCCAAGGGCAGAAATGTTCACCGCCGTATTCCTGGTACCCAGTAAATGTTTGCCATATATAAGCTAAAATATCATCTCCTTGAAACATCTCTGAGCATCCTAGCTAAAGAACTCCTCATCCCAGACACTTTTTTTTTTTTTTTTTTTTTTTTATGAGAGGGAGTTTCGCTCTTGTTACCCAGGCTGGAGTGCAATGGCGCGATCTCGGCTCACCGCAACCTCCGCCTCCTGGGTTCAGGCAATTCTCCTGCCTCAGCCTCCTGAGTAGCTGGGATTACAGGCACGCGCCACCATGCCCAGCTAACTTTTTGTATTTTTGGTAGAGACGGGGTTTCACCATGTTGACCAGGATGGTCTCGATCTCTTGACCTCGTGATCCACCCGCCTCGGCCTCCCAAAGTGCTGGGATTACAGGCTTGAGCCACCACGCCCGGCCGACACTTTCTATCATAACCTATTTTAGCCTCTGCATGGGAGTTACAATCCTCAGAATAATTTCTTTATTATTTACATATATCTATTATCAACCTCCCCCTAAACTAAAATACAGTCAGATAATTTAAACCAAACGTATGTTATAAGTGTCAGTGGGATAAACTCACTTACTACAAGATAATAAATATTAAAATAAGTAAAATGCCAAATCCAAACTGCAGACTATTATGCAAGATACAAAGCTAAATAAATTATTAGAATGGCCGGGCGCGGTGGCTCAAGCCTGTAATCCCAGCACTTTGGGAGGCCGAGGCAGGCGCATCACGAGGTCAAGAGATCGAGACCATCCTGGTCAACATGGTGAAACCCCGTCTCTACTAAAAAAATACAAAAAGTTAGCTGGGCATGGTGGCGCGTGCCTGTAGTCCCAGCTACTCAGGAGGCTGAGGCAGGAGAATTGCCTGAACCCAGGAGGCAGAGGTTGCGGTGAGCCGAGATCGCACCATTGCACTCCAGCCTGGGTAACAAGCTCGAAACTCTGCCTCAAAAAAAAAAAAAAAAAAAAAAAAATTATTAGAATGGTCAAGCAAATGATAGCAAGAAAAAATTGAGATAATATTAATATCAGACAAGGTCACATTTAAGGCAGGAGATGTTAATTGAGACAAAGAGGAACATGGAAATAATTACAGAAACAATATGTAAAATAATAAATGTGGGAAGTAGAAAAGTTCCTCTTTAAAGTTTCATTTTTTGTTAAAGAATAAATCCAATCATAAGTGTGCTAATAACTCTTTGTTAAGCCCTATGCTATGTAGCTGTTAGACACGCTATGCTTACAGGTACGTAGTATATTCTGTGTCCTTGTACTTTAACCAAGATACCTGTGCTGGACATGCTCACAGGCATGTCCCAGCTCACCATTGCTTTTACCTGTTCAGAAAAGTTTAAAGTTGTTAGCCAATCGGGTTTTAGTTTAGCCAATGGGGATCAGACACAGAAGTAAGGACAACCCGAAATGCATATGGAATAAAAATGTCTGCTTTTCCTTTGTTCGCTGTACTCTTGTGGCAAGATGGCTAGTGAGGGGACCCTTACTGCAGTCTGGGAGGCAAAAATTGCTTGCTGAGGGATCCTTTTTCTCAGTGCTGATTTTTCTTTGCAGCACCGAGCATCTGTTTCCAACAGTAAAGCAGCTTTAGCAAATCTTTATGCACAAAATAACACCGTAAGTATATGAAATGCAGGAAATGCAAAAATAAAATAAAGTAAAGAGACACTGAATAGTAACAGGAGTGATAGTAATGGTAATAGACACTTTAATAGTAATAGGAAAATTTAATTTACAGCTGTCAACCATGACAGAGCAAATAGACTAAAATGAAGAGCATGTTGGATCTGAACAATATAATTAATGAGGCTGATGTAAGAGTTATACATTGAACTTCATTATAATAGAGAATGCACAATGTTTTAATTAGACCCATGGTACAATCACATATCATTAAAGACACACAGAAAATCATGATAAATTAACAAAAATTGAAAAAACATGACCTATAATGTCAGAGCACACATTTTCAATGTAAATAGAATCAAAATGAATATTAACCACTTGGAAATGACAAAATTATTTCTTAAACCACATATGGCTCAGAGAAAAAAAATCAAAACCCAAACTAATGTGTATCTAAACAAAAATGATAAGAACACTGTGTATTAAAGCAGAAGTATTAGTTAAAGATGTACTCAGAGGAGCTTGCATGACCTCTGCCACATAGGTACTTAAAAATAAAGAAATAGGGACCGACTGACGGGAGGGACGGGAGGCGAGCAAGATGGCACAGACGCAGGGCACCCGGAGGAAAGTCTGTTACTACTACGACGGGGATGTTGGAAATTACTATTATGGACAAGGCCACCCAATGAAGCCTCACCGAATCCGCATGACTCATAATTTGCTGCTCAACTATGGTCTCTACCGAAAAACGGAAATCTATCGCCCTCACAAAGCCAATGCTGAGGAGATGACCAAGTACCACAGCGATGTCTACATTAAATTCTTGCGCTCCATCCGTCCAGATAACATGTCCGAGTACAGCAAGCAGATGCAGAGATTCAACGTTGGTGAGGACTGTCCAGTATTCGATGGCCTGTTTGAGTTCTGTCAGTTGTCTACTGGTGGTTCTGTGGCAAGTGCTGTGAAACTTAATAAGCAGCAGACGGACATCGCTGTGAATTGGGCTGGGGGCCTGCACCATTCACAGAAGTCCGAGGCATCTGGCTTCTGTTACGTCAATGATATTGTCTTGGCCATCCTGGAACTGCTAAAGTATCACCAGAGGGTGCTGTATATTGACATTGATATTCACCATGGCGGCGGTGTGGAAGAGGCCTTCTATACCACAGGCCGGGTCATGACTGTGTCCTTTCATAAGTATGGAGAGTACTTCCCAGGAACTGGGGACCTACGGGATATCGGGGCTGGCAAAGGCAAGTATTATGCTGTTAACTACCGGCTCCGAGATGGGATTGATGACGAATCCTATGAGGCCATTTTCAAGCCGGTCATGTCCAAAGTAATGGAGATGTTGCAGCCTAGTGCGGTGGTCTTACAATGTGGCTCAGACTCCCTATCTGGGGATCGGTTAGGTTGCTTCAATCTGACCATCAAAGGGCATGCCAAGTGTGTGGAATTTGTCAAGAGCTTTAACCTGTCTGTGCTGATGCTGGGAGGAGGTGGTTACACCATTCGTAACGTTGCCCGGTGCTGGACGTACGAGACAGCTGTGGCCCTGGATACGGAGATCCCTAATGAGCTTCCATACAATGACTACTTCGAATACTTTGGACCAGATTTCAAGCTCCACATCAGTCCTTCCAATATGACTAATCAGAACACGAATGAGTACCTGGAGAAGATCAAACAGCGACTGTTTGAGAACCTGAGGATGCTGCCGCATGCACCCGGGGTCCAAATGCAGGCGATTCCTGAGGACGCCATCCCTGAGGAGAGTGGCGACAGGGACGAAGAAGACCCGACAAGCGCATCTCGATCTGCTCCTCTGACAAACGCGTTGCCTGTGAGGAAGAGTTCTCAGACTCTGAAGAGGAGGGAGAGAGGGGCCGCAAGACCTCTTCCAACTTCAAAAAAGCCAAGAGAGTCAAAACAGAGGACGGAAAAGAAAAAGAGCCAGAGGAGAAGAAAGAAGTCACAGAAGAGGAGAAAACCAAGGAGGAGAAGCCCGAAGCCAAAGGGGTCAACGAGGAGGTCAAGTTGGCCTGAGCAGACCTCTCCAGCTTTGGCTTCCTGCTGAGTCCCTCACCTTTCTCCTCCAACCCCTCAGATTTCATATTTTCTTTTTTTTTTTTTTTTTTTTTTGAGACGGAGTTTCGCTCTTGTTACCCAGGCTGGAGTGCAATGGCACGATCTCGGCTCACCGCAACCTCCGCCTCCTGGGTTCAGGCAATTCTCCTGCCTCAGCCTCCTGAGTAGCTGGGATTACAGGCACGTGCCACCATGCCCAGCTAATTTTTTGTATTTTTAGTAGAGACGGGGTTTCACCATGTTGACCAGGATGGTCTCGATCTCTCGACCTTGTGATCCACCCGCCTCAGCCTCCCAAAGTGCTGGGATTACAGGCTTGAGCCACCGCGCCCGGCTCCATATTTTCTATTTCTGTGTATTTATATAAAAATTTATTAAATATAAATATCCCCAGGGACAGAAACCAAGGCTCTGAGCCCAGGGCAGCTGTACTGTTCTTTCACGAACTGCCTTGCCACCCGTCTTAACTTTGAACCACAAAGGGTGCCAGGTCTAAGTGAAACGGATACTTTTATGCAATCATAAGACAAAATCCTGAAATGCCAAGTGCCTGCTTAGTAGCTTTGGAAAGGTGCCCTCATTGAACATTATAGAAGGGGTGGCTGGGTCTTCAAGGATCTCCTGTTCTTTTCAGGCTCCTAAGGTAACATCAGCCATTTTTAGATTGGTTCTGTTTTCATACCTTCCCACTGGCCTCAAGTCAGCCAAGAAAGTCACACTGCCTGCCCTCTGTCTTCCCCTAATTCTGCAGGTGGAGGTTGGTAGTCTAGTTTTCCTTTTTGAGATACTATTTTCATTTTTGTGAGCCTCTTTGTAATAAAATGGTACATTTCTATATCAAAAAAAAAAGAAATAAAAATAAATGAATAAAGCATTCAGTTCAAAAAGTTAGGGGAAGAAAAAAAAGAAGTCAAAGGAAAACAGAAGAAAAAATAAAGATAATTGAAGAAATAAACTGCAAAACGGAAAAAGGAATTGATGCAGTTCTTTGAAAATACAGATAAACCTCTAGTTAGTAATCGAGAAAACATGCTTTCTTAAATAATTAGAAATAAGCCAAGAGTGGCCAGGCATGGTGGCTCATGCCTGTCATCCCAGCACTTTGGCAGGCCAAGGCGGGCAGATCACTTGAGGTCAGGAGTTGGAGACCAGCCTGGCCAATATAGTGAAACCCCGTCTCCACTAAAAATTCAAAAACTAGCTGGGCCTGGTGGTAGGCACCTGTAATCCCACCTACTTGGGAGGCTGAGGCAGGAGAATTGCTTGAAGCTGGGTGGTGGCGGTTGCAGTGACCCAAGATCACGTTACTGCACTCCAGTGTGTCTCAAAAACTAAAAAAAAAAAAAAAAGTTACGGGAGGCCAGGCAGGGTGGCTCATGCCTGTAATCCTAACACTCTGGGAGGAGGCCGAGGTGGGCAGATCACAAGGTCGGGATTTCGAGACCAGCCTAGCCAGCAAGGTGAAACCCTGTCTCTACTAAAAATACAAAAATTAGCTGGGCATGGTGGTGGGCACCTGTAGTCCTATCTACTCAAGAGGCTGAGGCAGGAGAATCACTTAAACCCAAGAGGTGGAGGTTACAGTGAGCTGAGATCTTGCCACTGCACTCCAGCCTGGGTACAGAGTTGAGACTCTTGTCGCAAAGAAAAAAAAAAAGGCCAAGGGAATAATGACACAATGATACAGAGAAAATTAAAACACTTATGAAATGATTTTGCAAAGTTCTATGCAATTACATTTGAAGACATTCATGACCAAAAAGCGTATCTCAGGTTAAACACAACAAGAAAGCTATTGTATGACTCAGGTAAATCTGGACAACAGAGTTCACACTGAGGGTGCCATATTTTATGACATGTTGGTGCCTGTGGGGTGAGGACAGCGTTCTGCATCCTGGGGTACTAAAAGGATGACATTCTGGATTAGGCATCACCAGGTACAGGTTCCAGCCAGACAGAGCTTTGTGGCATTCTGATGCTTATGACTATATTCCCCTTAGGAAGTCACTCTGCTTCTGAGTTTTCTATTTTTATTTTTTAGAAACGGATGTTTATTTTCCACGAACCTTATTTCTACGTTGCTTAAGAGCCCATGCAAGAACAGATTAAGACCATTCAGTGGTCGCTCCTACCCATTCAGTGGCCTGAGCAGTGGGAGCTGCAGACCAGTCTTCCGTGGCAGGCTGATGCTCCAGTCTTCGGTAGGGAAATGCTGAATAGACACAGAGGGCACCCGCATGCCTTCAGACCGGTCTGCAACCTCAGGCTGAGTAGCAGTGAACTCAGGAGCTGGCGCGGTCCATTCGCCCTGAAATTCCTCCTTGGTCACAGCCTTGGCAGCAGCAGCCTGCTCTTCTTTCCCAGTCTCTTCAGGATCTCTTCAGATCAGGCATGACCTCCCAAGGGTGTTCACGGGAGATGGGGCCACGCATGCTCAGAACTTCCCGAGCCAGCATCCACCACATCAAACCCGCTGAGTGAGCCCTTGTTGTTGCGTGGGATGGCAATGTCCACGTAGTGCAGAGGAGAATCTGTGTTACACAGAGCGGTGGCAGGTAGGTTCACATGAGACGCCTCCGTGCGAGGCTGGTGGTCAGCCCTGGGGTCAGTAACCACAAGAAGCCGTGGCTCCCGGAAGGCTCCCTGGATCTGGTTAGTGAAGGTTCCAAGAGTGAAGCGGCAGCAATTGGAGTGGCTCCAGTGGCAGCAGCAAACTTCAGCACGGCCCTCTGGCCAGTAATCCTGGAGGATATGACACCGACATCAGCAGGGTTTTCAACGGCAACAATGGCACGAGCTGCCAGCAGAAGCTTCTCCCAGGTCCTCTTCCGATTTATGGTGCAGAAGCCATCACTTTTCCTTTTATCCATGTACTGTTCCATCTGGAAGTCAAGATTGCTGCCACCTAAGTGGGTTCCTGCTGCAAGGAACTTAAGGACATCCTCCTTCATTTGCAGGACATGAAGGGCTCCTGACATTGTTGAAAGTTTCCATTTAAATCACGACAGGAATCCAGAACAACGCCATGTGGACCCCTCTGTGGGTAGTGCGGAAAGGCTGTGCCTCATATCTGATGTCTATAAAATGAGGTTTGTATTCTACCATTCCAGAACAGTAAGCCTCGTTTCTTACCGCTTCAGCAGTTTCTTAACCAATGATGAAAAATCCAGCTTGGGTGACTTCAGACCTAAGGATTGAGTGAAAAATGTTGATTTTATGGTGGCTCCATGAGCAGCCAGCCAGTGTGATGAGGGACATCTATCAGCCAAGCGAGGCCTGGAGTGAGCCCACTGGCTGTGCTGCCCATCAACTGGCCGAAACTCAGATCCCGTCATCTGGCTGTCACGCTGAGTGGCAGAGCCTTCAACCAGAGCTTGAACATCAAACATAAACCAGGGGGCAGGAAGGTGCTCAAGGTGGGGAAAGAAACAGGGCTATCCCAAAGCACCCATTAGAGAAGAACATGATGCCGTGTGCTGAGAAATCCAACAGCGTTTGAATCCCCAGGAGGCAGTAATGGTGGCTCATTTTGTCGGATGTGGTGTGCACAAACTGGGGCCAGAGCCCTTCCTCTGCTGGTCACTCCGTGTACCCTGGACAGCTTGTGAACATTCCTGAGCAGAGCAGGGGGCACCCCTGTCAGCTATGAGGCAGCAGCGGAGCTGGGTATGCACAGTGGGTGACGTTGGTTTCACCTCGTGAAGTATCATGTGGTAAGAATGGAAGTACCCTCAAAGCCCAAATAAAGCTCTAACTAGGTAGCAATTGGCAATCCCTGTGCTCTGAGGCTCTTCCTGAAAGCAACGAGGCCAGAACCTGAGAAGCCATCCCTGCAGAGCGTTCCTGCCACCTGGCCAGAAACTCCCCATGAACTCTAAACCTAAGGCTCTTTCAGTGAACCCATGCTACCAGCTGTGGTACTTGGCAAAAACAGGCATTTCGACCACTTCATACACCATTTGGTCTCATCTTCCCTCCTTACCAACAACTACATGTGTGTTTTTTTCTTCTTGGCTTTCCTCATCCTGGAATATCCTAGAATGTTCTTGGTAAGAGGCCTGACTGGCTCCCAGGCTGAGTTCTCACTGGGTGCATAGCAGCAGCTCCATACCCAGGCCTGTACAGACTGAAGGCAGCTGATTTTTTTAAAGGTTTTTTTTCTTTTTTTTTTTTGGGACAGAGTTTCACTCTTGTTGCCCAGGTTGGAGAGCAATGGCTCACTGCAACCTCAACCTCCCAGATTCAAGTGATTCTCCTGCTTCAGCCTCCCAAGTAGCTGGATTTACAGGCATGTGCCACCATGCCTAGCTAATTCTGTATTTTTAGTAGAGACAGGGTTTCTCCATATTGGTCAGGCTGGTCTTGACCTCCTGACCTCAGGTAATCTGCCCAGCTAGGCCTCCCAAAGTGCTGGGATTACAGGCATGAACCACCATGCCAAGCCTTTTTTTTTTTTTTGAGACGGAGTCTCGCTCTGTCACCAAGCTGGAGTCCAGTGGTGTGATCTTGGCTCACTGCAACCTTTACCTCCTGGGTTCAAGTGATGTGAACTACTACTCCTGCCTCAGCCTCCTGAGTAGCTGGGACTACAGACACAGGCCACCACACCCAGCTGATTTTTGTATTTTTGGTAGAGATGGGGTTTCACCATGTTGGCCAGGATGGGCTCAATCTCTTGACCTTGTGATCTGCCCACCTCAGCCTCCCAAAGTGCTGGAATTCCAGGCATGAGCCACCATGCCCAGCCCAAAAATAATATAAAGATCATGAAACATTTTCCCACTCCATGATCTTACCACCTTAAAGTAGCCGTTTTGGTGATTTGGAGTTAATAACCAGGTTCATTGCACATGTACATATATGCTACCTAATCATAACCACAGTGCATTTAATTCATGCATTCCATTTCTCAGTTAAGTAAATACTCTTTAGGTTTCTATCAGCTCTGGCTTTATGAAGTCACAGAGGATCCCATGCCCAGAAGGGAATAAACAATGACTAGTTTAATGCTCT